GCATGTTATTAATGAATGCAATTGCTTTTAGTATGATTGTTCCTGCCACCAGTGTGGTGCCCTCAGGTCCGAGTGTTAGAGCTTGCTCTTGAGTAACCAGCTTTGAAAGAACAGCCCATTTCTGCCTCCAGCCCAGTGCTCTAAGACTATTTGCTAACTTGCCGTGATCATAATGGTGAGATTACCAGCAAAGAATCGAGCTACCAACGGTCGTCCTTTTGAGGATGGATCCCTCCTGGTTCACCTAATTCTGAACAAGTCTAAAAGTTGCAAAGCCTCAGTTTGCATTTTTCGTTTCCCTATGAGCAGAAAACTTCCTAGAAACTCTCTTCTATTTCCTGTTTTGGCTAAGACAGAAATAGAATTGTGCATTTCTGCCTATAACAACTTCATTTCCAAAACAGCATCTGCAAGGGAGGAACATAGAGCTCTGAGAAAAGCCTGGTTTTCAGTTTAGCCAGTTAATTTTAGGCATTAGGAGCTGTAGTTTCCTCATCTGCAGTGTGGACACTCATACAGGTCAAGTTTCTTGTTAATGGCTTTCCCGAAACCTTGAACTTGTTTCCTTTATGAAAGAGATTTGAGTCCAAAAGCTGTTGGCGTTCAGTCACCGACTGACACTACTTAAAACAGAACAGAACAGAACAGAATAGAATAGAATAGAATAGAATAGAATAGAATAGAATAGAATAGAATAGTTAGAGATGTTTAAGATCATCCAGTTCCAACCCCCCTGCCATGGGCAGGGACACCTCACACTAAACCATGTCACCCAAGGCTCTGTCCAACCTGGCCTTGAACTTTTACAAGACTCTCTCCAAACGCTTGCACTATGAGCATTACAGTGTATGAGAGTAACAGGGAAATCCACAGGGATGTCACAGAGCGCTTTTGAAATCAGGTTCTTTCCTAGAAGTCAGGGACATTAGGGCAAAATGTCACCTCAGCAGTCACCCTTCAGCCAGAGGAGAACACAGCTACACCTTAAATGTCAACCACCCGCAAGCTTGCACACCGTGAGCTGACCTTTGTGGTTTCTCACAAGACTTGTCTCAGAGTCGTAAAACAGTTATATGTAGAGAAAGAGCACCCCAAAATCAAAGCTCTCCTTCTCTTCTTTCATACAGGAGCAGAGTAAGAAATTCTGCTGTATGAGGATGAAATGATTACTCCTGTTGGTAAAGCATTGTACAAGTAGCCCCAGAGTCAGGTTTTACAACTTGTATGAGAGAAGGCTGCATAGTTTAGCCCTTCACATCTTAATGGTGGGCAATAGTGGCTCCTGAACCCCAGAGCTCGGCCAGATTCCTTGAAGAGACTAACATGTAGTTTTCCACTGCGTTAGAGGGAGGGGGACCAAACAGTGAGTTCCTAATTGCTGTTACTGATCCACAGAAAGAGTGAGCGAGCATCTTCCACTTGGCATTTGCAATGTTAGGATATTATTCTCATTACAGTCAGAAGCACAAGAGTGTAGCAGGACATTTGTGGTACCTGAGGTGGGCATCTTCTCTATGGACATGGACATGATCTCTGGGGAGAGTTTCAGGAGCGTGCCAGCCAGCTGTTGCAGTCAAATACCACCCAAAAGCAAAGTAATTGTTCTTGTGAGGTAGTAACACAGGAAGGAATCTTCACCACCCAGAGCGTTCATTCAGCCCTATTAGAAGTTTATTTACACACAGTAGAGTTCCCTCCTGTCAAGATGAAGAGATAATCGCTTGTGCAAGAGAGATGAAGACAACCCTTTAAAATGTTAGGTTTAGGACAAAGTGGTTTATTCACCCTATTCAGCATTTAGCCTGGTTGCTTTATTTCACTTTCTTGAATGAAAACTGATCTCTTACAATTAAGCCTTACTGTTGTAGACAAGGTAGGATACTCTGAGAGAGCTGTAAGATCAGTAATGTACTACCAGTGATATACCAAAAAGTAAGTTAAAACCTGTCAAGATTTCAAGTGGCATTTGGAAGATTTCTTGCATGCTGCTCATAGCCAATACTTCACTACTGAAGCATTCCAAATACTGTTAAAACTATGCATGACAATACAAATACTCTAAATCAGATGTCAGGCAGCAGCAGGAGAGTCCATTAACTAGAGCAGAAGCGTATTAACAAGAGATGTCAGGTCAAAAAAGTGGCACCATAAGGCATTTTCAGCACTTGAGAGCTCTAAACTGTGTGAAAGCCAAATCTGTCTACCAGAAAAACCCTGCGTGTTTTCAAGTTGACTGTAAGCGGACTGCGAATCGTGAGCTGAGTGCTACCAAACATTCAAACAGAAACTAAATGCCTTGGGAAACAAGTGCTCACAAACGTTGAATGCAAATGGGTTTTTCACTAACACAGGGGCTTTCAGAAGTCACCAGTCAGTAGCTCACCTTCAGCAGAGCCAGGACATAGCTTGGTCATATCCTCCAAGTAAAACTCCTGTGTAAGTTGGTGGATGGAATAATGATCACAAGGAGCAACCAGTGACAGATGGGTGGGAGAACCTAACCCCAGGCAATAACACCAATGCAGGTGTGAGAAATAAGTCATGCAGCATTCACAGCTGCTGGAAGCACGTTTGTTTGCAGGACAGTCAGTAGAACCAATCCAGTGTCCTACTGCATATCACAAGGTGCAACAAGAGGAGGACACACTTCTATCCCACATACTGCCCTCCTGGAAAATGCTTTGTGCCTCAGCTTGGCTTATCAATGTCCTTGCCACCTGAATTCAATCATGTACTTGTCAGATACTCCTTAGTCAAAGGGTGAAAGTGCTTTCCTCAGTTCAATGTTACTGAGTCCATGTGCTCCACCAGCAGTGATCTACGTATGCTGGTTGGTCACTCCAGGTTTGCAGGTAATGAAAGATCATTTCTAATGAGCCCTCCCCTTCCCAAGAGCTCAGCAAAGGCTGTTCCATGTAGACCCAGCCTCCTCAGGCACTTCTGCCATGGCTTGTACCTTGTCTGTTGTGCTTTCTCTGCTCCTAATACACAGCCCTTTCTCAGCTGCCTCGGCTTCCTCCATCCCTGTTTGGTAAACTCTGATGGCAGAGCTGCAGTTCTGCTCCCCATCCCTGGCAGTGTTCAAGGCCAGGTTGGACACAGTCTTGGGCAAAATGCTCCAGTGTGAGGCATCCCTGCCCATGGCAGGGGGTTGGAACTGGATGATCTTAAGCTCTTTTCCAACCCAACCCATTCTATGATTCTGTGACATTGTTGAGCTAATTTCCCCAGCAATTCTCTTCAAGCAGCTCATTCACCACTGCTTGGGTTGATTGTGGGGTTGATTCTCTATTCCCTTACACAGCTACAACCCAGGCCATGTCTCACTCAGTGGCAATTTCCTCAGCTAGGTTTTATTTATAAAAGCCAAAGCAACCACCTCCACGGCTCTTTCCTTTCACTGCTTCTCTGTTTCTAATCACTGTGGTCATGTTTGCCCAGTTAGCATTGCTACAGAAAGCTGATCTCTAGTGCCAGCTTGCTCATGCTGAGCCTCTGTACGTTGTCTCCCTGGGAGTATTGCCCCTCTCTGCTAAACCTGCACCTTTTCTCACAAATAAGAACGGGTAAGAAGTGATTACTTCTGATTTGGGCACTTTAGTTCCTAGATTGGTATCTAATTTGTTAGATTGTCTTCCCCAGCTCTACATCCACACCTGAGCTGGGGCTGCTCCAGACAGAATTGCTCTAAATGCTGCAGGGGACGATCAGGCTCCGTCTTGCTTTCCCTGTGCTGTGACCCTCAGGGTCTGCTCTGGGCCAGTCCCCTCTGGGTCAGGGCCTTCCAAGTGACCCCAGTGCAGATGCTGTTGCTCCCCCCAGGATCTCTGGTATTATTTTTTTCAGTGCTTAGTTTTAAAACAAAAAGAAAACAAACCCCAAACCGCCCAAACCCACACAGATTTGGTGAATAAAGGTGAAAATCTGCTGTCTATTGAGGCGTTGCATTGCAGCGTTTTGGAACGAGCCTTTGAGTAACTCTATTAAAAAAAAAAACACAGCAACCAAACAAAACACTAAGAGAAACAGTCCCCTCAATGACCAGTGTTCATTTGCAAGATATATGAAAGTCTTTAATAGATGTATAGAAACACAGAGCAGCTCTACAAAGCCCTGGTCATAAACATAATTTCATTCAGGTACAGCTATGTGAAGACCACGGGGTCTGCAAGCAACAGACACCTCTTACAAGGTAAAACCCCCTCCATCAGCCACCCCCATGCGCAGATTTCCCCTTCGGGTCTGTTGCACAGCATTTCAGGAGTAAGATCTGGAAGGCAATGGGCTCTCCCAAGCGGCAGCCTTGGCTCAGCGAGCTGGAATCTCAGCAGAGCTCACCTCGGAGAGGGGGAATCCCCTGTGCCTGGCTCCGCTCCAGCTCTCATCAATGGCAAACCAGCCCTAATCCCTAAAATCTAAACAAATACATCAGTAAAGAAAAATCCCAGTGTCAGCCTGTCCCCAGGAATCACACGTCAACCCCTCGATCCTGCCTCGGGACTGTGCAATCTGATATTCCTCTGGGTATGCAAACTACTGACTCTCTGCAGCAGACACAGCTTTGCAAAACCAAAGCACCCCAGAGAAAGCTGTAGCCTTTGTTTAGCTAGAGGAGAGTTAAGCTCGTCATAGCGACCTGTCCTAAGCCATTACTAAGCCAAACTTAGTTCCCACCTGACTGATGGCTTTGATATATTCCTTTTTAAGAGATTTGGATCTGACTTACCTGCACCCAGCGTGGAGTGCAGGCATTGGCTTTATCTCAGATCAGCTCACCTTGTACTGCACTGTGTAGGCTCACTGACCTGGAGAAATGCATTCAGCTGCGTAGTCCTAAACGCTCTGGAGTTTGAGACAACACCAGCACATCACTAATATTCCTGCTGCCCCATAATGCCCCCATGCCCCAAGTCTGGTCCTTTTGCATGTCAACCACACCAAGACCCACAGCAATCACACCAGTATCTCTGACAAAGGCCATAATTTGAAATCCAGCCATTATGTTCTCTGCGTAAGCATCTCCCACACAGGCAGCACCTCATTCGTACCACGCTCTGCCACAACGTGTCTGAGGTCTCTTGAGAACAGATTTCTCTGCTGTAACTCTTGAGTAGTTTTCACTACCTGAGCTCTCCGGCAGACCCATGAGGATTCACAAAAGAACTACAATCCGTGCATATGTGGATCCATTGCATCTTACAGTCTTTCTGAGCAGTTACAAAGCTCAGAGCCAGACCTCTCCATCATCTATCCCACCTTCCCTGAAAAGGTTATTGATCAGTCAAAGAAATGAGTCCATATGTTGCCTCCAGCCAGAAAGTATAGTCCAAAAAACACTGCATTCCATCCTAAACTGCAAACACATGTGCAGGGTACCTGCATTTCTGTACATTTTATATACATTAACCAAAAAAACCCCGAAATTACAAATGATCAAAAACCAGAAAAAGCTTTGGAAATGAGGCAGGTTTTTCTTTCCTCTGAAGAAGGTAAGTGACAGCATTTTTTCAGTTCAGCTACCACATCAGGTTGCTAAGGCAGCTCTGAGGGAGACCTGTAAAGGAATGGTTGATCCATGCATGGTCCCAGCTGGCAGAAGCTTAATTGTCAATGGAGTAAGCGTTGGTTGTCCGCGAGGTGTGTTGTCTAACACTGTAAGACATGTCTTCATACACTGTATTTGGGGGGTTGTTCTGGAAATACTTCTTCACCTGCAAAACAAACCGAAGAGCCATTCAGCACCGAACTTGAACAGACTCTGACCAAGGAGTCAGTTTACACCTCAGAGTCCATCTGTCTGAAATGGAAATGTACTTTCCAGCTGCCTCTCATCAGCCAGTGAGGGCTTAGACCATAGGTGGAAATTGTCAACCTATTTATTTAACTGTCTATTGTCAGTCTGATGTAATTTCACCAAAAGTTCCTTCAAGATCTGGGTGCAGCTTTGGCCCCAGCACAGATAAGGAATATCCTTAGTTTGTTACTGGTTACACAAGGGACAGTTCCCAAAAGGCCTCTTGGCTTTGCAAGAATGATGTTATACCACTGGGTTTTAGCAGTGCTGAAGTGAAGGGACAAGATAAGGGTCTGGTCTGTGAACCATGCTCTGTCAATTTTGGGTCATTTTTATAGAGCAGAAGGATGTAGCAGAGACAGTTTCTGGGCACTGGCTGCACAATATGAGTGTAAATAACACCAGTAAAGGCAAAAAAATCTTGTTGGCCTTTCTTCTAGGACGGCGTAAAATTGTTCTCCTACAGCAACTTTTCATGATGCTGTGCTCTCCTCCAAACATCCTCTTTACGTCTAATACAAGGTTAGTGTGTACAGTCCCATTCCCAACTAACAAAACAAAGCAGCAAAACAGAATAATGAGGTGCTCTGTTCGGGGAAATACGTGCAAACACATGGCTGTGTTATTGACTGTGAGGCTTGGTCTCAAAAGGCAAACAATATCTCATTTATTAAGAGTTACAGAAACATAAGACGACACAGTCTTTACTGCCAAGAGCTTACAGCTAGGAGACATTAACCAAGGGCAAAGAGGAGACAATAGAAAGCCATGATTCTTAAGGTTTATCAAATGTTTGCTTGGCTGTCACTGTTTACAAAGAATATCAAAAGCACCTATTCACTGCACCTGGATTCGGTTTTGCTTTGGCACCACAACAACTTACATCAACACGGTACAAGGTGCAGCACATCAGCACGGAAAACAGGAGAGTGACCATGGTGATAAGAACATAGATGAGCCAGGAACATTTCTCGCAGTCTGCCTGCTCTCCTTCTGCATGTAAAATTATATCAGTATTATAAATATGAAGAGGTAGAATTCTATTTTTGTTATGAATAAAATATTATTCACTGGTCAGCAAAAAATCAGTTATCAACAGCATGCTACAGAGCCACATTTGTCATCCCATTACTATTCCCTACTGCTATTCTCCGTGCTTTTCTAGGGATGGCATGGCAGGGGGAGGTCAGTGAGAAGCACTCTACAAAGGTGGTAGCTTCTATAGCACTGATCAGAAGTAGGACCACACACTTGTAATGGAAACAGAAAATGTTTCACTGCTGTATTACAGCAGTGCTGAGGGTTTGGCCAGGAGTATATAGGAGTTACAGCAAACAGCTAGGTTTGCAAACAGAACAACAGGAGGAGGAGGCTACTGTGATCTGAAGTATGTACACTGAGCACAACAGTGCTGGTGGAAAGGGTTAAAAGCTCGATTAATCCATCTCTGAATAACATAATACCGGTAATCACGATGTTTCCTTGATGTGCAGATGCTGCTTTCCCCAGTCCACATTACTGAACCCTTGCACCAGTTATGGCCCAGCAGCACAGAGTGAGAGTACAGCCTTTTTTGCAGACTGAAGACAAATCCTCTGCAACTCTTAGGGCCTGTGTAAATCTTATTTTAATTACCCAAAGATCTCATCACAGCCCAGTGCACAGGGTTAAATGACACTGGTAAGGTCAAAACCAAGCACTATATTGCTGGGTTTGTCTTTGTTTAGCAAACGGTTACACCACTATCCTGCAGAAAAAAAAAACACCCCTCTCTTTGGATAATGCTCCCAGAGTGCTCAGTGTGTAATAAGGGTGTGGGAGATCGTCTCTGCTATTATCTGTGGTACTTTAAGTAAGTGCCTGAGGACTTGTTCCATACTCCCTAGCATGAGCTATTTTGAAACACAGAGTCACTATAGAGAATGGTTTCTAAAAGACATTTATGTCACATGAAGGTCAAAGAACTGATGCTAAAAATACCAATTAATTCCCTAAAAGTGACGGATTATTCACAGACACAATGGAATGTTTGTTATCTGATTCTGAACTTGGTTTATTTTTAAGATGCAGGATCGTAGCAACTCTTTTCTTTTATAATTCCCCTCTGGTTGCACAAGGCAGGTAGGAACATAGTGCTTGGCTGTGTCCTAGCACAACAGGGTAGAGGAGTCTGAGCACACTCTCCAAGCTTCCCCAGGTACTGGAAGAAGTCTAGCCATGGATTAGTGCTTCCCCTGTCCTTACTAAGGTTCTGCAAGCTTTAGGTCCAGCTTTTGTCTTACAACCTGCCTACAGTCTTTTACAATTGAACAAGTAAAAGGATACCTTTAATCAGCATCATGGTGCCACTTCTATTCACTGAGAGGAAAGAGGAGTTTTTCACCACTCCAGCACATACATATATGTCACTGTCATTTCTCCATAGGTTGTGTAGAGTTATCACGATTTTCTCCCCTTCCTTCGAATACTCCAAGCGATTGGCAAAAGCAGGAAAAACAGTGGAAGTATTCTGACTCGAAACATACAGCACTGGTTCAGGCTGCACGTGAGTTTTGAGCAAGTAGTAGATCCTTTCATCTTCACGTGAGGCTTTCAACGCACAGGTAATGCTGACAGATTGGCCTTGCTGAGGATTCACATACAGCGGTGCCTGTTCCACAATCCCACTGGGTTTACCTAAGAACAAGAGAGATTAATGGCTACCACATACTTAACACCGTACAGTTGAACTATTAAATACAGTGATTTAAACACAGAAGTCAAAGACAGAAAAAAACGACCACAGAAATTTAGGTGAAATTATTTCTTTAGAGGCAACCCTTAGGTGTGCCTTGCGAGCCACCTGGCATGCTTTTGCTGAAAGCAGGACGGATCAAACACGTTTACCTGGTTGTAAAAGGTCTCCACCTGCCTACAAAATACGTATCTTTTGTATTGAACTCTTCTAAGGGAATACAGCTACATCAGCTTGCCTTTGAGAAATGGATTATTGCCTGCTCTCTCACATGAGATTAAGATACAGCAAGATCTGGAGACCATTGGTCTGGGTGAAATCATACAGTGTGGGTCCCATGAGTGTTGAAAGTGTTCTCCAAAAAGCAGTTATTAATGGCTTGCTGTCCAGCTGGGAAGACAAGTTTCACTGAGTTCCTCTGAGGACAAGCCCCATCCCTTCTGACATTAGCTAATGTGGATGAGGGACTGAAGACAGAATTCATCACATTTGTATAAAAGGTAATTCTGGGAAGGCGGCAAACATTATAGAGAAAAGGGGCAGAATCCCAAAGAGATACAAGGTAATTTAATAAAATAATTTGGAGAAACAGTACATAATCAACAAGATGGAATTCACGTGAGAAAACAGTCAAAAAGTTTGAGAAGGGAAGCCTAAGGAAGGACAGGATAACTCTTCATAGATACAAACAGCTGTTACTGACCCCGCAATCAATTATGTTTTGCATGCCCTGGGGACAGGAAAGTAAGAAAACCCTGTGATTTCTGGTGAAGCTGTAGCAGTTAAAGGCTCTCATCAGCAGGGCAGGGATGTAGAGGACCGAGCTGCCAAAGAGAATACTGGGGACACAACCCTCTTATAATAAAAACATTTAAAAAGGGAAAAATCTTTAATCAGAAATGCAGGCAAAAGGAGCACTCGTGCCCATCATCAACTGTTTGGTAAGAAGAGAAAAACCCCACATCCCTTTATCCACTGATGCCCAGCTTGCAAACCCTGCCTAGCACCAACTTCCCAGTTGTTATGAATTTTTCCCGTAAGATGTAATAGTAAAAAGAAAAAGACATCAGTAAAAATCACTGCCAAAAACCAGCTCATTGTCTCCTAGTTATTCATAGAGACTGGAAAGATTGTTTTGGAAAGAGCTGACTGTCCTCACCGTTTCCAAACTGCTGCAGCAACCTATGACTCATGTGAAAACCCATAGCTAGGGTTAAATTTGTTGTGGATTGATGTTCTGGGGGTTTTTTTGGTACTGTTCTATCTAAAGTGTTTTCTTCATCTGTTCACAGAGCAGACTCACAGTTTCCTTTAAACCAGTACATTACCTGAGCAGACATGGGGAAAGTCCTGTCAGACTCTCTCTTCCATTATGCTTTCTTTCAATCTTTGATTTCAAATATATAGCTATATTTATTAATTCATGACAGAAAAGGTGCAGTACCTTTTACCACTACTATGGTTGTCTTCCCAAACAGCTTTTTGTGATAGCTTTTGGTTTTTACATATGTACTGCATTGATAGATATTAGAATCCGATTCCTGTACATTGTGCAGAGTTATCCTGAGATTGCTTCCTTCCTTTGAGTACTTGGTGCGGTTAGCCAAAGCAGGAAGGATATATGAAGTATTCTGCTTGGAAACATATACCACATTGACAGGCTGTATGCTAGTTGTCAAGTATGTTCCCACTTCATTTTCTGAACCTTTAATTGAACAAGTTATGCTGATGGTTTCTCCTTCGTGAACACTGATAATGTCTGTTGACTCTTCATTTTCTCCACCTAAAAATAAGAAATGAAATTGGAATTGTAACATCAGTGTTCCTCTCGATCTATTCATAATATCAAAGTAGTTTCCAAAACTAGTCCGTCAGCAGAACTGCTGTTTGACACTGGACCTTGCCCTTGCTATCGTGTATCCATCGTCTCTTGGCTGCCCTGAAGCCGACAGTGCCTTTCATGCCTGTTGACCTGTGGAATTCAACATTTTCATGCCTCAGCAAAAAAAAAAGAGGCTTGTTACTCATTAAAAATATTTAGTCTGCTCTGTAGCTTCCAGTATGATCCCATTAATTCCCAAAATGCAAGCTTCATTGAACTCAGCCCAATAATTGGAGCAAAGTCTGGAATACAAAAGTATCAAAAAATGGCAGAGAATGGAAGAAAACTACACTTCAAAAAACAAAAAGAAAGGAGGCTTTAGCAGCATCAGTCAAGTGGATAATGTCACCTCTTAGGAAGAGAATTGCAGAAGGTGCAATTCCAGCCTATGGTAAGAAACAAAGGTATAAAAATATGTAATGAGACCCTTTGAGTCCCCAGATGACCTCGAGAGCAAAAGAATCTGAACAGTAAGTACTCATGCAATGAACAGCAAGGAACAGAGGGATCAAACAGGAAACACCTAAAAGAAATTACATTAAAAAGCAAGGGCAGGCCAATGAAATGTAGAGTATTGCATATCTAGGACAAACATAGTCTAGAAAAGGGAGAATTACTCACTGTTGACAAGCAAATTAAGGATCCCTACATACTTAAAACAATTAGTTTTAATAAGGGAGCAAGTGCAGAAAGACCAGATCATGGAATTTTGATACAGTCGGTCAATCTGACCTCATCAGGCATTCCTCCTACAACACCTAAAGATGGAACTAAGGCAACCCAGGAGTTGTCAGCAATTACCTTCCAGAGCAGCAGAGAAAAAAGGTTATGGAGAAAGCTGGAGAAGTACAGAGCACTCAGGCTTTACAAGTGGGGAAGGAAAGCCCAGGAAATCCATCTGCATCAGCCTGATGCACAAATCAGTATTGTCCCTTCAACAAACATTAACAAAAAAAGGGCAAAATATTCTCACCAGTTTTACTGCCTCCAGCCTGTACTCTCAATAGCTACAACGATATTTAGCATTGGATATTTCTGGTAAGGCTTCAATAATTTTGTCTCTAGTATATATCAATACTCATTTCTATCCAGTAGTGGGCTCCCCTGTCAACCTTAGCAATACAGACTCAGTTCATTACTGTGAATTCTGGGAAATTTCCCAGTAATTCCCACAGCTGGGGGAATCCCTGGGGAATGCACTGCTTCCACAGTGTGCAACCTCTCTGTAGAAAAGTTCAGATTACACAATTTTTAAGCTGTTTTCTAAAATCTCATCCGATAATTTCACAGAATGTTTCCCAAGGTTCCACCTCTCTTTTGCTGCTGGTGAATTTGCCAGGAACCTGCTTGAGACAGACCAAGGAGGAGTGGAAGGTAGGAAAGGAAAGAAAAGATTTAGACTTGTGAAGTGTAAGAGCATCTGTGCTGTACATACCGTTCTGGCCAGGGAAGCACGGGAGGTGCAGAAGAAAGAGCAATGCAGTTAGGAGACATATCCATGGCATTTTCAAGGGTCTTTTTACTTGTTCTCTATTGTCTCACTGATGAGAGCAAGACCCAAAGTGCTGTAAGCCACAACTGCCTTCTTTTCTTCCAGCTACACCAGCTGTTTACTGAAGGCAGTTTAGCAATGTGCGGCTTTCAGTTTAGTATGATAATGAATGTGATGGAGGGTGGGGGGAGATTTCTCTCCAGAGGTGCATCTTGGTTTTGACTTCACACTTAAAACACCCACGGTTTCCTGCTACTGAACAACCCCCAACCCTGAGGGCAGGACTTTAAACAGTGCTCTGTAGTGAGCACTTACCTGCCCTTTACAATCAACTGAGGAAAAATAAGCTCTAAGTTGCTCTTCACAGTGTTCAACTCAGGCAATGATCTCCCAGTTGTGTCCCTGCTGGAAATGTAGATGCTCGGTACAATCAGTTCAGTGGTCAGTTTTCCCACTGGCTGGTTGGTGCAAATGTCTTGGCTTTGTAAAGAGCGAGTAGCTGAGAGATGTTCCCTTACTTCAGATAAACCTTAAATTCTTGTACCTCTTCACATGCCTCCTGCCTTCACATTTAATGACACATTCTGTAGTGCCTGCAGCATGAGAGCTGGTAACCAGGGAGTCTCTGCCACAGTTCACATGTAGCTCCTGCTCTCTCCCCGACGTGCTGAAAAACTCCTCTTGCTTTGTTCTCTGTGTGAAGACGTCGGGAAAGGGGTGCGTTCCCAAAGAGTTTCTTGAATGCTTGGAAGCTTAGGCATTCCATCAGTCATTGTAAAGGAAACAGAGTTCAGGCAGGCTGTGAAATGACCCTTCAATTAGCCCTAGAGAAGCTCACTACTGGACACAAAAGCAGATATCTCTTACTCCCTGTCTTTGCTTTAGTGATATTTAAGCAAATCATGACAGAAGTACTGGATTATGAGTTTGTGAATCATCTAATGGTGATGCTTTGTAAAAGAGATTAACATACCAAGTAACGACACATCAACAGAGGGTTACCAATGTATAGTGAGGTTTTAAGTTGTTTCATTGTGAATAGAATAACAACACAAATAAAAAAAACCCAAACATTAAAATGAAATTACAAATACCAAATGATGGCGTTTGGCGAGTCAGAGCCATCTTTTTTCATAAACAACTATTTTCCTATATTTGTATATTGCAGAACAACACAATGCAGTTTCCCAGAACAAATATTGTAGATTTTTAAAGCTGTTCCTTCTGAGAGGTGGGATAATTGGTGTCTAACAGCACAATACAGCTCAGGAAGGGCAAAGTGAAACAGCTGGCATCGATGCCTCTGAATATCACAATCTGTATAATCATCAGTAGAAAGAAGAAACCAAAATGAAAATGTGCTTGAGTGAGCCATAAAGAGTGTGACTGATCAGCTCTCTGGCCCCAACCGGTGCTAAAGAGTAGAAATCAAATCTGCACATCATTAAACCCGAATCCCTCAAATTAATACCATGTGAGTTCTCAAATATCATTTTGTCCCTTTTCCAAACAACTCAAAATCTGAGTTTAGACCAAAACCACCCAGTGTCAGCCAGCAATTTGAACACCAGATACACACACCCAGAGGTTTTTCTATACACACACGTTTGTGTGTATACATAGACCATACAAAAGAGCTGCCATGTTGAGGACCATCTTTAGAACAGAACGCAGCTGCACATGCAAGGCTAACCACAAAGTGCTGGCATAAGTGGACCAAGGAGAAAAATAATGTTTGTTCCTCATAGACTGTTTCAAATAGGAAGTTCTGGGAGCAGAAGATACCTTGTGCTTAACCGCTATGTGGTCATAAAAGAAACATAATCTGCGAGAGCGATGACTGCTTAAGCAATAACACAGATTGCTACCTCTAAAGCATGTATCAGCTAGCAACAGTAACAAGGAAATGGTTAGAAAAATGGTAACTGAGTAACATGTAGAGGAGTATTTGTGTGGCGGGGTTTTATTGGTTATTCCTCGTAACGCCCTTGTAAGCTTAAAGTATATAATCAAGAGACTTCGTCAAAGAAACAATTCCGTAGCCCCATGGAGTCTGTGACATCGTGCACCACACTGCCACAGCCTTCAATTTGAAGACAGGATTTTTCTAGCTGTAGGAAAACAATGTGTGTATCACTGGAAATCTCCAGAATCTCGGCATGCAGCTTGACTGCGTACACTGGAGCAACCGGCACTTCCTCGAAGGCACCCACAGCAACAACTTACAGCAGAGGGAAGCAGAATCTAAAGCATTTGTGATACCTACAGTGGGGCCAAAAACTGAAAGGCCCATACCCATTTTGAGTGCTCCTTTCCCAGCCTATAGCAGCTGATATGTTATCTCCTCCAAAAAGGATGTCTTTTACCCCAAAAAACCTCTTCCTCACTCACTCCTTTTAGACTCAGCTCTACTCCATTGAAAAGTTACAGCAGCCCTGTTCTGTGTTAAGATGCTGTGTAAAGAGGGAAAGTCTTTTCCTTCTACCTCTAAACTCTTGTACAGTCTGGATTCTTTATGGGCAACCTTAGCTCTGGCTTACTGAATAACTATACTATCACATTCTTCATGATGGAACATAATAACATAACATGAAGACGTTATTTTAACTGGATCAAAACATAATCAGTAAATACCTAAAAGCCTTTGAATAGCTGGGGATTGCCATCTCTTCATGATGTTTTGCCTGCATTCGACCACATTAAAACTAGAAAGACAAAATCCAACAAATAAGCTGACAGCTGAGTTAAAAGGGTATCTCAGATCAGCATGAGTGTAAAGCCTCCACTGGGGAGGGAAAACCACCTCCTAACAGCACTCGTCTGCTGTGCCAAACAAGAAACAAATTGAAGCACAGAGGCTTTTCTGCATTTCTGACATTAATTAATAACATATTTTTGGATGTCTTTCATTATGAACTTTTCCCTTTAGATTTGATCATAGCAAATTTCGAGAGTCACATGACAACCCACATCCTTTGAGATTTCCTGCTGGAAGTTTCAGCTACAGGTTTATGGGTAATTAAACTATGTAAAAGTGATTCCACAAGTGTTCACACTGTTACACAGACCTGCTTTTCCAGTCGTGCTGCTGCTCCTTTTTGCCCAAAAGCCTTGTCATGGTTTAAGCTTGACTGGTAACTCAGAACCATGCAGCCACTCACTCACTCCTCTCCTCCTTCCCCCCAGTTCTGGGCAGCATGGGGAGGAGAATGGAAAGAATGTAAACCCCATGGGTTAAGAACAGTCCAGTAACTAAGGTGTAACACAAACCCACTACTGCTACCACCAACAGTAATAATGATATGGGAAATAACAAGGAGGAGAAAGCAATTGCTCACCATCCACTGACTGATACCCAGCCCGACCCAAGCAGTGATCTGGGCCTTCCAGGTGACTCCCCCCAGTTTCTATACTGGGCATGGCTTGCTGTGATATGGAATACCCCTTTGGCTGCTTTGGGTCAGGTGTCCTGGCTCTTGGCTCTGCTACCTCCCAGCTTCCTGTGCCCCTCCTCACTGGCAGAGCATGAGACTGAAAAGTCCTTGATCGGGGTAAGCATTACTGAGGAACAACTTAAAACATCGGTGTGTTATCAGCGCTGTTCTCAGGGTAAAGTCTAAAACACAGCACTGCACCTGCTACTAGGAAGGAGATAAAACTGCTACAGCTGAACCCAGGAGAAGCCTGAAGCTAGGTTAGGTGTAATAAACTTTTGGAGACTTAACTGAACCAAGTGTGAATGATAAATCATTTCAACTACGAAATGGGGATCCCTGAAGTGCAGCATTCATCACATACTGCCTGCACACAGCATACCCAAACCTGTCTTCAGATGCAGGGATTGTAAGAGGTTCTTTTTTTGATCTAGAAATCACCTGGGAGTTAAAAACAATAAAGACCTATGGGTGTGCTATCACATTATGAAATGGAAGACACGCAGTGAGCATCCGCCTCAAGGTTCAGCACAACCTGCCTGAGCACAGATACAGTTCTCTGCAGAATTTCACATGGACTGATCATTTCAGTCATGCAAACCATTGACAGAATTCAGCGGGTTTACACCTGGGCTGCTGAGCCCAGCACACATCTTGCAGCACCTGCTGTCCTCAGCGAAGCACCAGGACGGGATGGGAGATCCAGGGAGCTTCTTGTGTTGCTTGTGAAAGCCTGAAGCTGGACAACTGTGGCTGAAGGGTATTCGCTGAACATATGGATTTGGTGACGGAACATTTATGAAAACTGCCATGAGGTCTCTCACAAAATGAGCTTCTTGAGCTGGATGCTGTATGATGCTACTGAGAAGTGTGCTGCTAGCACCAAACCTGCTATTCTCATTTGTGGATGCTTTTCCAATAGGTGTGAGGCTGTAACTGTCAGAAGCCACTCCCGAGTCTTCTAACAGCTGCAGAATTGAAGGAAAAATATGTGAGGCCAAAGGCACAGGTTGATTTCAGTAAGAATTACAATCCAATTGTCTGTATTTTGGCTTGGAAATCTGAAAGGTAACAGGATTGCAGCTCCATTGCCCAGCAAGTTCACGGCATCTCTGCTGAAACCCTGCCCTGCTTGCTGTGGCCCACCAGCCTTTGCCTCAGAGAGGCTCTAGGACAGGCCTGGATCATCACCCAGTGTTACACCCCAGGGCAGGACCTCACAGAAACCACTAGTGGGAAATGTTTTACCTGTCACACTAATATATCCATTAATACATCTTACTGTAACAACTGCAGTGAGACTAGTGTTATCTTTATTGAGTTTTGCAAACACTTGTGCAACTCATTTTTCTCAGGCATCCTTGTGTTTTGTCCAACTGTAGATGTTCAAACATCTCAGCTTGTTCCCATTGGCTTCCTTTAGAGTTGCCAGGAAGGCACCTTCACAAGGTAATTCACCTGTTTCATCTTAAAACCATTTTAAGGTGAGATGAATCATCTTCTCAAGACAGCTATTTCACTCCATTCACTAGAAAGGGAGCACAAGACAAAAATCTTAAGCTTTAACTGAATTCTGAACAACAATTTAACCTTAAACAAATTTAGACTTACAAATTTAATTGTTTAATTGTTTTCGCCTAAAAAGAAAAAGAACCCACCATTTATTTTTACAGGATGGACTAGTTCGGGAATTAAGAGATGTCTCAGCTTCTGGCATTACACATTGTCCCATACACCCTGGTGCCAGGTTGGTTATAAGATACAGGAGGAAGCTGTATGTCAAGGGGTGTCTATAGAAGCGTGCACATGATCAACACATGAGTAGTGGAACCACTGCAAACTCATGAGCTAAAATCTATTGACTCAAGACTTGATGCAGGGAGGAAATGGGCATCCGCTGAACATGGTCCTAGTCAACATATCTAGTCTTTCATTGACCACCCTCCTGCCAATCTAGTAACGTGATTTCACCATTTAACATAATTAAATGTAGTTTGATTAAAATCAAATCTTACCATGAAGTCTGACGAAGCACTATGACAGTTCCTAGAAAAAACAACAACAGCAAAAAAGTAAAGTACCGGCATTAGCAAAGATTTACTTAGAAGAATTAAAACTAACAAATTTGCAGTTGTTTTTCCCCAGTGGATATGTATCTGAAATGCCTGAGCAACTCACTGGTGTCCATGTCCAAGAGATTCACAGGCCTTGTGAACCTGTACGAAACCCCACCACATATGGCAGGTCTGATCCTTTGCCACATGACAGCACAGCTGGATCTCAAGTTCTATATTCTACTGTAGTACAACTGTTCTGAAGTATGAGGAGGTTTAATATCATCTCACTTTAAGAATATTGCAGTCTCTGTGGTGTGGGGGAAGAGGGAAGAGCAAAAGGCAGGTATTTCCAGGTGATTTTATTCACATGACTCCTTATTCACTCCACGGAGCCTATCCCAGCCCTTTCATAGAATGGTTTGGGTGGGAAGTAACCTTAAAGCTCACCCAGTTCCAACCCCTGCCACGGGCAGGGACACCTTCCACTAGAGCAGCTTGCTCCAAGCCCCTGTGTCCAACCTGCCCTTGAACACTGCCAGGGATGGGGCAGCCACAGCTTCTCTGGGCACCCTGTGCCAGCGCCTCAGCACCCTCACAGGGAAGGGCTTCTGCCTAGGAGCTCATCTCAGTCTCCCCCCTTCGAGTTTAAAGCCATTCCCACATGCTTTTGTCAAAAGTCTCTTGTTGGCCCCCTTTCCATGCATATTACTTTGTAAAACAAACTCCCCACTTGGATGCATTTAAGAAAATATCCTTTCTTAAATTTAAATTGGCTCTTTATCAGGCAGAGCTGTGAGTGGGAACCTTCCACCTAAAGGACCTGTCAGTCCATGTCTGGATATCAGCACTCTCCTGGCTGGGATACGTCTCTGCAGGGAAAGCTGCACAGCAATGTTGCAGTCTGAGCCCGCTCCAAGGAGCTGGATCCCATAGGGGTAAGGCTGAGCAGTGCAGTCACTTAGATGTGTAACTGTAGCAATCAGGAAATGTATTCTGTGCTTATTTTTCTCAGTAAAGCAGCTGACTGGGTCCTGCGTCACAGCAGCAAATGCAGTGGTGGAATTCCTACCAGCTGCTAGCCCAGCCTCCCCTTCACAATGAATATAATTTAACAACTTGTTATGGAAATGAGATCCAGAAAGAAAACCCTGTATGCTGCTTCTACTCCCAGCACTGCTTGCAAGGCATGTTACCCATAGGAAGCATCACATTTTGTCAGACTGTACCGTTTCTTTTCTGTAGCACACAACATGTTGCCAGAGCTGCTGCTGCACAAAGCACAAGAACTGTTACTGTGGTGATGATGCCAACGTTGCTCTTTTCACTGACCAAATACTGAGGATTATCTGGAGAGCAGAAGAAAATAAAGTCCATGTGACTCAAACAGGTGTGCCAAGAAATAAGCCTGCCTCAGAAGCAGCACCTAGGGAGAACTGGGGCTGGTGCTTCTGCAAAAGCTGACTATGAGAAAAGGAACTGATGAATGAGAGAACAAACAGCCTCTGGCTTAGGGTATTTTAATATCATCTCACATCAATGAAGACGCCTGTAACAAAATAATGGCTATTAACATTTGAAGCTAATCCTTGACTCCCCACCACAACAGGTACCTTTGAACCTCCATCTCAACTGAAAAAAACAAAATGAAAAGGGACAAGACCCATCCTTAGTGATGGGTTAAAAGGCCACATGGGAAATCCATTTTGACCATTTTTAAAGTACTTCAATGCACGGGAATTTAAACATACAAATATCTAGAAAGCTTGCTTTAATACTGGTCCAATTTGGAAGAGAAATCATAGAATCATCCAGCAAACATTCAAAAATTACAAAAAAGAAGAAACAACCCCCCAGCCAAAACCAAAAAAAACCTCACCAAACAAACATCAGAGCAAAGAGTGAAGAAGAGCCATACCCTTACTAAGGGCTGTTTCCAGAAGAGACTAAATAGTGTTTACTGGTCTCAAGCAAAGATGCCCTGTTTGTCCATAACCTAAGGAAGATGCCAGGGATTTCTACAGTGAAAGAAATTTGGATACCAAAATACCTGTATGTGACAAATGTCCTCTTAGTCTAGAGGTGAAGTCTCATTTATCACTTACTGTTAAGTGGAATTCTTGGAAACTTGTTGCACAGCCATCATGATCCCTCAGCATCCCTGTATCTACAGCTACACCGCTACAGTCACAGAAACCTGTAGCTATGGATACGTAAGTCCAGGACTGGGCACCTACAGGGCCTAGTGGAAAGTCTTTGAGTTTGGATGGCTACAGCATGTGTGGGTCCAAGGTATGAAGGTTCAGTACATCTCCCCATGCCACCCATGTGAAACTCCGTTCACAGCTGTCCAGGCAAAACTCCCTCAAAGTAAAAGGCAAACACATACATGAAGCTATTACCTTGATTTCCCTCACCAGTGATGGTAGTTGTTGATTTTCTGGGTTCCTCATTCAACACTTCAGTGTAGCACCTCAAGGTATGGTTGGGCACTGAGAGGTTTGTGCTTGTTTCGCAGCAAATTTTAACCTCCTCTGTAATGATGGTACCTGACCCATTTTCCAAGAAAGCCGAAAGACAGAAGAAGTTTCAGTTATAAAGATGGATCATTTATATGCTCTTCAATCGAGGGTTAAAAAGGCTAGAACACGGGCGGGCCCTCCATTTACCACAAGTAGTTGGAGATTCTTGCAACCACGTTTAATTCACCAACTGTTCAAATTAACAGTTAGCTTTTCTTTTCCCTTAAACTGTGAATTGTTCTGGGAGCCAATAATGGAAATCTTCAAATTTGGAGAAAGCAAAAAAGTTTTCACACATAATAAAACCAACAAAATATTTGTAAAAAGCGTCTCATTACCTTTCTGCAATTAAAATCCATTCAAATGATAACAAAACCTTGCAACCCCCATTTACCCACAGGAATCAAAAAAGAGGAACAAGCAAGACCAGCAGCTGGGTAAATCTCAGACCCCAGAGCGCATCTCTCACCCAGCCTGTCCCCACTGGGCTCTATACAACTTACTCCTCTTCTAAGAGATTCTTGGAAACTCCTTCCTACTGTGCTGGTTTTGGCTGGGAGAGTTAATTTTCTTTCTAGCAGCTGTACAGTGCTGTATTTTGGCTTTAGTCTGAGAACAACACTGGTTACACACCACTTGTTGCTCAGCAGCACTTAACCCTGATCAAGGACTTTTCAGTCTCTCGCGCTCTGCCAGTGAAGAGGGACACAGGAAGCAGGGAGGAAGCAGAGCCAGGACACCTGACCGAAGCGAGTCAAAGGGATATTCCATGCCACAGCACATCAAGCTCAGCATGTGAATTTAAGGGGAGGTTCATTGTGATAGCGGCTTACAGCGTGATCGAACCGCTGGTCAGGCAAACAACCCGGTGCATGCACCGCGCACCGCTGCCGGCTCTGTACCGCGGGGGCCATCTAGGGGAACTATTAACAATTACACCTTTTACCTTCTGCTTACGGGAGAAACAGCTTCCTCCAGCTTCCTCCCTGACCCGCATCTCTCGGAATTGCTCCTAGTGTATTTTAAGCACTGTTTGACCTGAGAGAATTGAATTCATTTTTGTGAATGACTCAACGACTTTATCACGAAAGGAATTCATTTTCAGAAGTTGCTTACTCCTGTGCCTTGCTGTCTGCTTAAATACACAACAGTTCAGTTTCACAACCAAAACGTGTCCTCCATTAGTGTATAGCCAGGTTCCCAGCAGAGCATACCTTTGTAACTCAGGATGCCACATGAGTGTCCTGCTCCCATGTCTTTCTCCCAGAAGACTGCATAAACTCCTTCAGGAATCGTATTTCCTCGATGAAAGCACATGGTGATCTGTGTGTCACTGGTCACCAACTGAATTATTTCATTTGAAAATGTCTTATTTTGTGTTTCACCGATTTTTGCACAGTCTTTGTCATTGCTTGATTCGCATACATTGCTCTCACAGTGATAGACTGCCACATTTGTTTTGCCAAAGGAAGAGTCTTGTGTCCCCTTTGCAGGGTCATCACTGGCCACGGCAATACCTACAGGAGAAACCAAAGAAAAATTCTTTTCTACCAGTTTTCTCCCCAGAATTTCAGTGTTAGACAATGGGTGGGCAAACCCAGTCATGGTTTAAGGGATGCTGTCTGCCAATGGACAATTCAATAGAAGCATGACATAATTCCTCCACTGCTGCCACTGGTAGCAGCTTGGGAAGTGAGCTGAAAGACATTTCCTGCTGAGCAAGGAGGTCCTATGCCCAGACAGGCTCAGATGACCCATCCGTTCTTATTTGCTTTCCTTCCAAAACTCCTTGGCACAATCTTATCAGGGATATCTCCAGCAGACATCCAGATCCTATGACCAAGGAAGATCACAGCTGAGCTGCCAGACTACATGCAGTGTCCCAAGTCACTGTCACAGATTTGGCTCAGTATTCCTGCAGGCAACAGTTTCACAGCTAAGCCAAACTGCACCAGCAGCCTGGCTGAAGTGCTGGAATATGCTAGCACTGGGTGCTGAGAGCTGAAAAAGGGGTTTACTCATTCAGACTCTCGCTCAGGAGAGTCTGAATGAGAGTTCTTTGAGAGAGGACTCACCTCATCTGACTTCAGACAGAACCAGAAAGTCACCCCTCCAAGCTAGGTGATTGTGACAGGTCAAATGAATCAGCCTTCACCTCCTTATTTCCTTTTCTCCCCTTACTGGTTTTGTGGCTTTATTTTTAACTGGACATAACTGAGCTTTCTAATAACAGTTAATAAGCTTAATAGCTTATTAAGTTAATACCTATTAATGTGCAGTGAAAAGCACAGACGTCAAACAAGGAGACTCACTTGGACAGGAAGATGCAATGGTTAGAAGCAGGAAACACAGCTGCATGAAGTGGGCTAAACCCATCAGCCTGCCCTGGGTGTTCATCACCAGCAGCGTTGGATGCTCTCTTACATCCTCCAGGATCCCATGGCAGCCTCACCAGGCTCCTCCCTCAGTCATCTCCCTGTTTGGACAGAAAATGCAGTATTCAGCATTCTTATCTCTCCTTATTATCTTCCTAGAAAACAATTTCCAAGCGCTGTAAAGCTTCTATTAGCCAAGAGAACTGGAATGCAGGCAAAGAAGTGCTCATGCTGCTTATCTGCTACGATACTGAGATGGGTTTTGGCAATACCAGGCTTGCAAACCTTTCTATCTCTGGGTCAAACACAGCAAAAGACAACTGCAGGGAAAGGTGTTTCTGCAGGGAAAGGTAAATCCTCCTGAGCCTGTGGGCAGGAGGCTCCATGTCCAGGCCCTCCAGGCTCCTTTGGGCAGAGGCTTTGCACACACCACTCAGTAAATACATGCAACAAATAACATCTTGACTTGCTGTCACTTTCAAAATGCACAAAACAATTAGATAAGGAAGATGATCAGGGACTGGAGCACCTCCTGTATGAAGATAGGCTGAGAAAGTTGGGGCTGTTCAGCCTGGAGAAGAGAAGGCTGCGTGGAGACCTCAGAGCAGCTTCCAGTATCTGAAGGGGGGCTATAGGGATGCTGGGGAGGGACTCTTCATTAGGGACTGTAGTGATAGGACAAGGGGTAATGGGTTAAAACTTAAACAGGGGAAGTTTAGATTGGATATAAGGAAGAAGTTCTTTCCTGTTAGGGTGGTGAGGCACTGGAATGGGTTGCCCAGGGAGGTTGTGAATGCTCCATCCCTGGTGATGTTCAAGGCCAGGTTGGACAGAGCCTTGGGTGACATGGTTTAGTGTGAGGTGTCCCTGCCCATGGCATGGGGGTTGGAACTGCATGATCTTAAGGTCTTTTCCAACCCTAATTATTCTATGATTCTATGTTTGGTGCTGAATGTTTTGCTTGCCCTAAGATGAAATATTCATTGTCAAATTGCATTCTACTTTTCAATTTAAAATATATGGAAAATATCTGCTCAAATTAAAGGGGCAAACACTATTTCTTAAAAAAAATACCCTGGATTTAGTCAGCCATGAATCCTCAATCATTTCAATGAAACTGCCGTGAATTTGTGAAACAGGTTTCAGGAAAACCCAAGTTTCACTTATCCAAAAGAGGAAAAAAGAAATCTGGAAAATTCACTCAACTTTCCTCACAAGCTTGGCTCTAGAAAACACAAAGTGCTCTGCCCCCAGAAGCTTTCAGTTTGAAGCCTTCGTTAAACCAACTTTTTTTTGGTACATCACTACCTGAGAAGCACCTTGAGGAAGTTTCAAAGCATTTAGGCATTAATTTCTAATTATATATGAAGTCTCCAGCAGAGCAGAAGTTAAAATCGCTTATCCCTAATACCTGTGCTAGTCTCAAGCTGCTGAGAGTCCCACCCAGAAACAACTGCGAAGGCAGGAACACAACCACAAAGGGAGTTTGAGGAGTCAAGTTTCAACAGCTTGAAAACAATAATAGTACTGAAGGAAGTAAGGAAACAACAAAACAAAAATCAGGGAACTTCAGTGGATCCCATGGATTTTGTTTTCCATTCAAGTTCTTTCCTCGAAAAGGAGCAGCATTTACGGAAGAGCTACTTTTTGTATTACTTTCACTACTGGTTTCACCTTGTTGAGCTGCTGAATCTGCTGAACTCTCAACAAGCTTTTGTAATAAAACCCAACCAACCAAAGCAAAACACAACGGGGATGAGAACACAAGAAGAGGCAAACCAGTGATTTTCAGGTTGAGCCTGGATGCAATTTGTTTCCATAGTTCCAACGAGCTGGTGCAGAAAGCACTCGGCAGGACTCTGTGCTTAAGCTGAGATCTCTCTGCAATAATCCTGAGAGTAGAGTAAGTACACACCTTCCCAGCAACTGCTCTTAACCAGGTTTTCCACAATAACTAGTAGAAAACACTACCAACAGTTTATGTTCTGCTTGCAGCACATTAAGGCAAACAGAATGAACAGTTTCACTGCTTGAATTTCTCACTTTTTAAACCCAATATTCTCACTGAGTGACACTTTCTGGTTTGGTTCTCTGTTGAGTTTTCAGAACCAGAGCCACCAGGGTTTCCACAGCTCCCTTTGGGGAGTGGACCAGTAACCACGGTCTGCTCCAGCTTGGGCAACAGCTTCTCACTGGAAGCAGGGAGAGGGAAGAGTTGCAAAGGTTTCTACTGCAACGCTCCTGGCAAATTACCCTTTCTTTGCCAGTATGACAGGCAAGTTTGGAAAAGGAGATACTAACAAAACATGGCAAGATGAAAAAAATACAGGTTAATTTGATGAAGGAAACATTATTGGTAATTACATGAAGATGAAAATGCATTAAGAGATTTATTCCGTTCCTTCTGTGCCACTCACTCTTACATAAAAGTGTGCCACTTAATGAAGCTGTTGGGGGGTTGCATTCAGATGGGCAGCACTGCATGAAAGTTGGCAGGCAGGGCCATAAAACGGGGCATTTTATATTTAGCCAGATCATGCACACAAATAACACACATTCTTCTTTATGGCAAAAACGTGAAACACACTGATCATTTCCCTCCGGCCCCAGAGCCTGTTTTAACTGCCGACTTCAAAAGAGGAAATAACATTTTGTAAGAGAAAGGACTG